CAGCCATTTCCGTGACAAGGCTTGCCCTTGCAGGCGGCCGCTGCTAACCTCGTCCGCCCCGGAGCGAAGGGGGCGGCTCTGCAGCTGGTTGCCCGAGTTTCCTCTGCTGAAGGTGCAGGGGGGGGGCCGCTGAGCGCCCCCCCTCCCAGGGCTGCTGGAGCTGGACCTTCTGCTACGCGAGGGTATTTCAGGTTCCTTGCTTCCTTTGTAAGTGAAGCTACAGGTGCTAGTACGCGTGACGGGAGTACCCACGCAGGGCTAGCTAAAGCACGACTGTGGTCGGTCATTTCCTGGGGTTAGAGGTGCCTCTTTTCTTCAGTGTCTTGAAAAGCGGGGCTTGCAAAAGGCGATTTCTGCTGGGACTTCTGCTGGGACAAGAAAAAAGTCGTAGGAGTTTGATTTTTTTGTCTTTGCTTAGAGCTTTGTCTCTGCTTAGAGGAGTGTAATAACAAGTCCGACTGGCGATAAGCAGGTGTTCAGCACCACTGAAATGGAAAGAGGGGCGAAAAAAGCTTAATATGATAGGTGTTTTTAATTCTAAATATTTTGAGGAGGAGGAGGGGAGTGGTTCAGGAGGCTTGTTTGATAAGTATTAGAAAATATTTAGAAATAACTTGTGCATTTTCAATGCCAAAAATAAAATTTGTCTCTTTGCTTTTAAAAATACAGGGAAGAGATCTGGAAAATAGGACTTTTCCATCCGTTACACACATCAACTCCGCCTCTCATATTTCATACCTTTGTACTGATGATTCAATCCTTTTCCAATCCATTTCTTTATCAAAGCAGTGTTTCCAGAGTGTTAACAAGAAGAAACTTTGTGATCCGTAAAGCCCACATATCGCAAGGAATACCAAAGTTCACTACGTTATTAAGATCAATATATTCCACGTGTAGATAAGAGCTGAACTATTGTTCCTGTAACAAGCATATAACCTTGACGCGCGGAAACAAACTTCACAACTCCAAAGAGTTATAAAGCAGGTAGGTTTATTCTGGCGCCGGGTGCAAGGGGGATAGCTCCTCCTAGCTTGCACACAGCAGGGACGGACATGAGGGTATTCATGACATTAATTCATTCATATGTATAGAGACGTGATCCATATTCATCATGTTACCGAGGAGTGGGGTGTGGTTATTAAAATAAGCCATTACCCTATTTCTCCTCCTACTGACGCCTGCGCACTGCTATCTGGTGGTCGCGGGCTGGGGTCTCTTGGAGGAAGGCCCGAAGTCTTCCTCCTTATGAACTTTTCACCTTAGGTGGTGGGGCATGCTCTATGCTCCTTCAGGTCTTGTGCCAACTACTAACCCAGTCTAAACCGGTATGCTTTCTCATTAGACAGATTCTTGTGACAG